CCCCCCAGCATGGTCAGGCCACTGGATCAGCGACCCATGACCGCCGCCACAAACCACCCAGGGACCCACATGCAGCCACCAGCAGACATCTCCAGAACCCCTGTGACCCTCCTCAGGTCAAGAGCAGGACACCCCAAAGCCCCTACACCCCACCACATCAGCCCCAACGCCCCACAAGGCCCAATCCCAAACCCCCCACCCCCACCATGTGATAAAGCCGATGAAAGGAGCCCAGAGAGATTCACCTGATGAGTCGGCAGAGGCTGTTCCAAAACTAATATGATCTAACAGAAGATTTTTGTACTGATTAATACTAGATTCTTTTTATTTTTCCAATTCAGGAGAATGGTTTTCTTTGCGATGCAAAAAGGCCGTGAAAATCATTCGAGATTTGTTTTTCTCTAAAGTAGCATCTTCTAGCACAGCCAATAGACAAGCAGACGGAGAAGGTGGAATATTACATTTCAGAGCGTTAGATAAGTCTTCACAAACCTGAACCCAGAACCTCTGACCCGGTGGACACAACCAGTTCACATGGAAATAATCATCAGGTATATTACCTGTGCATTGTGAGCACATGTTAGTTGATGTGAATCCCATCTTAAACATTCGTTGTCCTGTGTAGTGTACTCTGTAGAGAATCTTAAATTGTATCAATTGTAAGTTGGTGATTCTAGTCATTTCAAATGTTTTTAAGCATATTTTGGACCGTGTATTTTGTTCATAGTTAACTGATAAATCTGACTCCCATTTTGTAGTTGGTAGAGTTACTGAGTCGTCTATTCTAGACAGTTTCTTGTAAATTTTAGATTGCAATTTTGGTGACTTAAGTTGCATAAAATCTAACACACTTACTGGCGTTTCCAACAATGTTTTATTGAGTTTAAATTTCTTTTTTATTATAGCCTTAATTTGCTGATATTCTAAGAACTATTTCTTGTCAATGTCATATTGTAATTTTAATTTATGAAATAGGATAAAATCTACCCCCTCAAAAATATGCTCCAGCTGTTCAATTCCTTTACCCCTCCAACCTGGGAAGTTTAACATATTGTTTTGTTGCAAAATGTTGGGATTATTCCAGATTGGTGTTTGTCTACATGGGATTAGTGAAGACTTATTTCACAGTCATTCAGTATTAATCCTGTCAAGGTTCGAACATGTTTTTCTGTGCAGGTGCAGATGTTATTAGGCTTATGGCAGTGCCTAGACTAAACTTCAAACCTTCCCGTTAACTAACACAAAAGTCGAAGCCACGTCCCTGGTGTTGTTTTTTCTTTTAGAAACTAACCCTGGGACGAAGCTCTCGACAGACAGAAGACACCATCTTCGTCCAACGAAGAGAAGCTGTTTTTCTTTCTCAGGAAAAATCAGTATTTGTCAGTCAGATTTGACTCTTTTGCTAATGAGCAAATCTTTTGCCTGGGCTCACGATACCTTCAATCGAGACCAAAACAACCAGCTTTGAAGCTCCATTAAGTTTTGTTTTAAAACTTCTGATGAGAAGTCTTTTATTTTGAAGAGAAGGCTGAGTTGGATCGGACTCTCTCCTTCAGACCTGAAACAAACCTTTGCAGACGCTGAAAAATCAAAACCTTGGAAGTTTTTTTACTGGCAGTAAGGGACCTGACTGGAGTTTCTAACCAACCTGGGTGAATTGTGACGTTTTACAAGCACGTCTGCAGCATCAAATGCTTCTTTTATAAATTCGTCATCGCTGAAAGTTGTTTTCCACAGTGTTTTTTTGTGTTGAGGCAGGTACGGGGCTGCATTAGCAGCCTTACCTTAGCTTAGGAAGGGGAATCCATCTCATAGCGTTTGTACATTGTTTTGAAAGAAATGCAGTTCCACGTTATCCTTTTTGGATAAGCCAAGGCAGCGTTCGAATTACATATGAGTCCTCTTCCCACTCCAGGTGAAAATAATAAGTTTTTATTTGCTTGTTAGCTGTCTTCCCTTCATGTTTTTCCGCCTCGCTGCTTTGTTGTGAACACATGACCCTAACGTCTGGTGAGACCGTGTTCGGAGTGCTGTTTCACCAAACCCAAAACTCACGAGACTACGTCTGTGAGCGGAGCTGACGAGCCGGCTCTCAGCTGTTACAGGAAGGTTGTGCTCCGTGAGCTACTGGGAACCAGTCGACGAGCCACCGGCTGATCGTGATCGACTGGTTGGGCACCCCTGCTCTATACGTCGGTATACCTGCAAAATGACGTAAAATCCTTCTAACTTACAGACAATCCATACAAGTTGACATGTACAGTATGTTGTTATTTATTTGCTTTCTGGGAAAGCAAATAAATCTAAGTTTACCATAGTACCTTACACTGTCAAACTTGTTTTTAGGGGTTCAAATTGGGGTGGGTGGGGAGTAGGGTTTGCACTTCAACTCACCTAGGGCACCAAAATGGCTAGAGCCAGCACTGGATGGGAGTCAATCTGCTGCCTTCCTTACAGAGATAGCTACTAATGATCATTTATTTTTGTGATGTGAATTTTTTAATTGAAGTAGAAAAAATGGTTATAGTCTGACATACGAGTGCCTGAAAACAGTTAAATATTGTCATAAAACCTGTAAAATAATGTAGTTTTATAATGGAAACATATTTTTGTTTGACTTTAATGAGACAGTTTTTCATGGCACCCTGTTAAATTATTGGTAGATAGAATGGTTACAGCCAGAACAAATATCACTTGTGTTTATCTTTGTGTTTTCTCTTGACCCAGCAAGGCCCTTAGGATGAAATCTTGCTTTATTAAGATGACATAATGGTGTTTGTTAAACAGCATTTATAGGTCTGTCTCCCCAAGCAGAGGCTTAGCACACATTTTGACAGACAGCCTGATGACTCTGTGTTAAATTCTGTGTCATGCTAATTGTAATAAACTCAGTGGACCATTCTGCAACGTTCCTTTGTTCTTTGAATCACATATTTCTGTTCCTTGTTAAATAAATATGCCATAACAGTCTCAGGGATCATTAAACTGATATTTACTGTACATATTTTGAATTTAGATAACCGATATGATGATTCTGTTAAAATCATTTTTAAATAATGGTCATTTTCCATGAGCTTAAGTTCTTAAAGACATTGGGCCTCATGCAAGAACCGTTCATACTGGTGAAATGGTTAGCTAATAATGGTGAAATGGTTAGCTAATAATGGTGAAATCATTAGCTAATAATGGTGAAATCGTTAGCTAATAATGGTGAAATGGTTAGCTAATAATGGTGAAATGGTTAGCTAATAATGGTGAAATGGTTAGCTAATAATGGTGAAATGGTTAGCTAATAATGGTGAAATGGTTAGCTAA